AGATATATATATATTGTAATAACTACAAACTTGCTAATTAATTTGATTATTTAACATTTTGATTAATTTTTTGGTGAACCATTGAAATTAATTAACTATTTATTTATTTTAACAAGTTAAGGTTTTGTTAAATTGAAGTTTTAATTAATTTAAAATTTTATTGATTAATCAAAATTTCAATATGACGCTAAATAGGATGCAATGGAGAAAAAGGATTAATGTAGCCAATCCCATGTAGTGAGATTAAGGCTTTGTTGTTGTTTTCATTGTTGTTGTCATCAAAATTTCATTTAATATAATTAAATATTTAATTAATTCAATATTTAGTATTTTAATTAATTTAGTTTCATTTAATTATTTATGTCTTTAATAATATGTTTAAATAATTAAAGCTTTTAATTTTACTATTATTAACTTAATTTACACTAAAAATGCTGCTACATATATCTCAAACACATTTGAGATACACTCAATATTGTATCGAACGTGAGCTTAACACGATTTCAACAAAATGGGACACGACAGCAACAAGAAGCTTTTATCCCACTAAGTGGGTCAGAGACATGAAACATTTTGCTCCATTACATCCTATTAAGTGTCATTTTCAGTTAATTCTAATAAATTAAGATCATTTGTTATACAATATGTCCAAGTCATTTTAGGTCTTCGTCTGCCTTTCTTAACATAAATTGAATCTAAAACATCTATTATCCTAACTGAATCATCAGATGGTCGACATTAAATATGACCAGACCATCTAAAACGACTCTCTCTACTCTTATCTGTCACTAGAGCTACACCAACCCTATCATGGATATATTCATTTCACATTTTGTCTCTAAGTGTCAAGCCACTCATCCACCTAAGCATTCACATCTCAGCAACACACAACTCTGTTTTATGCTTATCTTCTAAAGGCCAACATTTTGCGTCATAGAGCATTGCAGGTCTCACCACCATCTTATAAAATTTTTCATTCAGTCTAAGCGATACTTTTCTATCACACAATAGGCCAGATGCATTCCTCCACTTCAACCAACCAACTTGAATTCTACTAATAACA